CTGTGCAAGTGCTAATGGCTCAGAGAGAGGAGCTGTGGCAGATAAAAGGTATTTCAGTCTTCCTTACCGCTCTGCAAAATGCATGGCACACCCATCACTAGGATCACTATACAGATACGCTGCATAGCTTCGGCCATCACTAAGTCTTATTATCGGGGTAGGGCTTATATTTAACAAATGCATAGAAATCCTGCTAGGGCACATTTTTTTGGTAGGTCTTATTTTTGGGGAAACATGGTAGTGAATGCATCAAGTACTTAAATAATTCTTTTCACTGGAAAACCCTTTCTTCTGTACCTTCAGGACATTACTGAAAATTCCAAAATTTCATTTCAGATTATTTTATTATTATTTATTTCATTTCTGATTTTTATTTTCAGATTATTTTCGTATTTAGTAGAAATAGTGAATTCACATGTACAATGTAAGCAAAAGCTAGGAAACCTGTTGAATCCAAGGTGATCTTGAATTTCATTAGAAAGAGTTATTAAGTGTAAGAAGAGACTTAAGTTGCTGAGCTATGCTTTCTCAATGGGACTCTCTGAGAAGAAGACAACCGAAGTAGAAATAGCAGGAATCTTAGCATCAGGCTGATCTGATCGGTTCCCATTTGTAATCGGCTTACTCAGTAATTTCCCTAATTAGCACCCTGACTTTGCTTCTCTGATCTGCACGATGGTGAAGGAGGAATTTCCCTTCCATAGTAATGAAGTTTAAGTGAAGTGCCACAAAGATAGCATTGACAGTTGTAGCCTGGCACATAGGAGGTGCTCCAGAAAGAATTTTTCTTTTCTTTGTGATTTTGGTTGCTGTTTTGTTGATGAGCTGATCAATATGCCAATATAACATTTGCATAAATTTTTTTTCCTTATATGAGTTAATTTTTAGAATTATCAATTTCTCTGACTTTTTGATTAGCATCTGGGCTTCATGAGGACAATTAATTGTAGAAAAATTGCCACGTATCCCCTTGGTAAAGCATGATGATCACCTTTGAGGCACTCCCCTTGGGAAGCTATGCACCAATGCCAGCACCCAGACCACCGTGCAAAGCAATTTTGGAATACTGTTTATGGAAAGGCCATCAGAGCTATTGTTATAGGAGTTCTAACAATTAAGTTTGCAAAGGCGTCCTGGAAAAAGTGCTATATATCTCCTTGCTGAATGTTACTACAGTTACCAAATGGCCAAGGGGGCAGTTTGAAGGTGAACACGATGATAGTCAGCAAGAAAGTCAGTAGCACTTTTTTGAGTTTCTGAACTTCATTGTCCAACCTCATTTTTTTAAAGAACCACTCTTAACATTTGCCTGCAGGGACTTTTTGGTGAGCAAAGTAGGCAAAACAGACAAAAGTAGTCAATTTTAAAAGATCGCAGAGCACTGAGCCTTCCTGATGGAAAACAAGGGACTAACCTTGGATAAATCTCCTGAACACGAGTTTATTTTATCTTAAGACAGTTCATCAAGAATACCCTTGGGGAGAATGCAACCCCAACATCAAGCTGCAGAATTTTCGCAGCTACAGCACTTCTGGTTGCTTGAAGGAATGTAAAGCCCAGCACATAGAGAAGGAATGTGGATGTCTGCCGTTCCTGCTTCCAGGTAGATACATACTGATGACTTCCCTCTTACTGAATTATACTTATTTACTTTGAAATATAGAACATGTTTTATCTTTAAATTGTTTTCTATTCTCCTGAAATTCTATGCTGGAAAATCCGTTTGGCAAATACAACCTCAACAGACAAATTGTAAGTCATGAAACCAAAGCAGAGCTATCTACAAAACAAAATTGTGTTCACAGGGCATGTCCCCAGTTCTTATTTCTGAGGGTTGAAATCAGATATTCTCCAGTGTCTAAAATGGCATGTGAAGATTTTCTCAGTTTTTTGAAAAAAAAAAGATTATGTATAGGTCTTACTGATCCTGAAGGTTTTACTGCTGGAAATTGGTTTCCTTTGTGACTTTAACATAAACTTCAGACCTCTTTTGCATCCATTTTGAAACATTCCTAGAACTGTGAGTATGAGGCATCATCTAAGGAGGTGATAGGGAAGACAGATTAAGAGCTGGATCCAACTCAGCTACTCCGCTCAGCGCCAAGGTTCTCACCCCTGTGATCTTGAACAAGTGACTTAACGTCTCTTAACCTGGTGAAAGAAGTTGGAAGGATAATATCCTTATCTTACAGTGTTGTTGTAAGTATAAAATGAGTAAATGAGTGGTTTATAAAGTACACAGCATGGGGCAGTGTTTGTGGCTCAAAGGAGTAGGGCGCCGGCCCCATATACTGGAGGTGGCAAGTTCAAATCCACCCCCAGCCAAAAATTTTGGAAAAAAAAAATAGTGCATGGTACTGTTAACCCCCAGACTCAATTCAAGCACCACTGAGAGGCCGAACATCGCTGCAAAGGCACGAGGAATTTTATTTATTCAAGCTCAGAGCCTGGGCTGCCCTTTAAGAAAAAGTGGGAACAGCAGCCTTTACAGACTATTCAGACAATTCCTTTATACCTTTCCCTCTTCCCTCCCATTAGACCATCCCACCCCATTCCCTTATTGGTAGGTAAACCATGTCTGTCCTAAACTGACAGGTACAGGGTGGTCGTGTTCAGGGTTGATTGGCTCAGGGACGAGTCTTCTTTGTCTCAGGTGAGCGAATGAGAAGGAAGAGGTAAAGGTCGCAAGTGGGGCGAGTGCAGAGTAGAGTGGTGAGTGCAAAAGGGGAGGGGGTCAGGATGTGGGCTGAGTGCACAAGGGGGCTAGTGGGACAAAGGGGAGGGGGCCAGGATTTGGGCTGTAACACCTAGGTATGATAAGGTCCTTGGTATGTTGGGGCCTATTGTCCTGAATAAACAACAAAAGGAGGTAGTTTGACTTGTGACTTGAGTTAATTAGTTTGGCTCCCACATTCTTAGTTTGGCTCCCACGGTACAGAATACAATCTACAGGAATGTTGGATGTTTTTATTCAGGTCTCTTTCATTGCTCTCTGACGGCACATCTAAAAACAAAAATAGAGTTCATCAAGCCAGTGTGTCTCTACAAGTTTGCCCCCTACATGCACACACATGAAGACTCACATTTACAAATGCTATCTCATCTCTTTGTCAACCCAAGTAAATGATTGAGGCAAAAATTTCAAATGGAGGCTTGTTGAGCCAAGATTTTGAGGGCGAACAAAGGGAAAACATAAACCACAGATAAGCTGTGGCTGTTTTTCCAAATGGGAGGTTGAAATTTCCAGCCTTTTAAAGAAACACAGAGAGAAGGGTGAAGACAAGGGGGAGTGGGCCTCATGAGGTAGTGGCTACATTCTTGTGAGGCCCAAGAGATCTACATTTTACTTAGAATAAAGAGAGAAGAGAGCATCAATTATGTAGACGTCTGTAAGTAGGAGGAAGAATGTCTGATTCTGCCTTGTCTCCAGTCCTAGTCCCTATAAGATAAACCTATAATTCATTATGACTGTGGGATTGGATAGGCTTTACTTTTAGGTGCCAGACATAGGTACAATTTGCATGGCCTTGATTATCAGGGGTAAGCAGAAATTTTCCTTGGTGAATGATCTGGGGGCCAGATCAAGTTTTTAGAGTTTACATCGAATGTCAGGGGCTGACTGGGAGATTAAGTACATTGCTAAAATGGATTGTCCCTCCCTGCGGTCAGGATCCAAGTAAAGAGGCAAATGCCCTCAGATAGTGGTGAAAGAAAAAGTTGTAGATTTTCATCCTTGCCCTGAGTAAATTTCTTTAACTTTGTCATAATTAACAGGCTTAGCCATGGCCCTTTACATCCCTTCAATGAGAAAGGAAAGCATATATATCACTTCCGTCCATGAGAAGATCCCTGCTGCTAATCCCAACTTGAGTCCTGTTCTAGACAGCACTATGGCCAAGAACATAGGAAGAGGGTCACCTTCAGTTAAGGTCATCTGTGTATCTCTAGCCTTGGACCAATACAGTCCCTCTTTTCATGAGTGGTATAAGTGGAGAAAATTATTAGGAATATTTCTCCATGATAGAGTGAAATATTCAAATTCTTTAGAGAACCTGAAGGGTCAGCTGAGACGCTACCATCTTTGGTTTTCTATTTGAGACACATCAGCCATAGAGAAAGGGGGATGGACTTGGATGATGCCTTCCGACCCAACAACCTCACAAAGAGGGCTCTAGTGTACAGGTGGGGAAGGAATTTGGAAAAGTGAGCTGAATGAGTATGGCTGGGTGAAGGTGGAATGAAAGAAGAAGAAGGGAGTGAAGTGAGAGGCAGTGAAGACAGAGGGGTCAAAGGATTTGATGATGGAGTTGAAGGAGGGAGAATGGGGGAGCCCAACAGGAAACATTATCTGGATCAGAGGAGGATGGTGGGAAAGACACAGAAGGTAGATGTAACATGTATCAAGTGCAGCACAGACCTGGATGCTGAGCAAGTTTGCAGAAGGCCTGAACATAAGGAACTGTAGACCACTGCTGAGCTGACGGCAGTAAAGGACCAATAGTTGAAGAATGGTATTATGATTAAGAGATCTGCTATTGGGCCAAACCGCTTGGTCATTTAATTTATACCGTGGTCAGACTGTGTTACAATAGAAGATTAAATGTTTGGACTGGAGGTTAGAAAGTCTCAAAGTTTTCAAGTTCTTAAGGAGACATCTCAATGGAGAGTCTCTAGGTGGAGCTGGTTGAGATGTTGCCTACGGCAATAACTAGGAGAAAGAAGAAGGAAAGACTTTTTCAGAGATGATCATATGTCAAAGGAAGAGGGTCCCAGAGCGGGGTCCCCAGCTCAGATGACTTTCAGAGATCTGATCAGACATTGTGCATCCTGAGATGTGAGGCTGACTGAAACCTAGAGGTCTGGATGGAAAATGGGCATCCCGGAGTTCTGACCCAGACAAAACCCCAGACATGGTCCCCCAAACCCGGTGTCCCTGGGTCTGGGTGAAGGCTGAGATAGGTGGCTAGGAAGCATCTTCCTCATTCGTCACCTCTCAAAAGTGGTAAACAGGTGCTGGGTTTTTTTAATCCTTGACCAAACAAAAGCTTCTAGGCTCAGACTAAAACATATAACTATTCCTAATGTCCAAGAGACTCATTGAGTTCCTGGTGTGTTGAAGGCACTGAGAGGGATGTCCTGGGCAGGCGAGGAAGGAGCAGTCACAAGACAGATGTAGAAAAGAGAGATCCCTGTACTGGCCACCACCAAAATGTTACAGGTGCTAGTACCATGGGCTGAGAAAGAATTCTTGACTCAAAGGCAGGCTTAAAATAAGGTGTTTGTTTTACCTGGCAAGGGAGGAAAGGGCACAGCATGAAAAGAAGGCATGTCAGCACTGAGGATGAGCACTTGGGCTTTTATTGGGGTTATGGAGAGAAGAGCAATTGCTGTTGTGCAATGATAATGGAAAGCATTCGTTTTCTGCTCTCTGGTTTTATCCGGCTCCTTGGAATACACTTTGGCAGGTGCTGAGAGGACTACATGTCCTTTTCTGTTTGTTCAGTCAAGTACGTTTCCAGTTCTGCAAATAAGTTCTTTAAAAAACAGGATTAACACACAGGTGGTTGAGCAAGAAGCAAACGATGGGCCAGCATACCACTGTGTGCGGCAATGTTTTTGTGTCAGCTGAGTTTCTAGCTTTCACTACTTTCACTAGTAACTCCACTAATAGTTTGTGGAAGAAATCTCCAAAATCAGCTTTCCAGGTACACGTTGTTTCCAAAATTTCATTGTGCTTTACAATGGAAGAAATGTTATTGCCACAAGTAAGGCACAATTTGGAAAAATGAGGCTTTTTCCTAACTTAATTTTAAAGGTTTTTTCCTCTCTTTTTTTAACTCAATTTTTTTTTCAATTTTTTTCAAAAAAAGAACACTTTATAGTTAGTCTAACATTCCACAAATTGTCAACACATTGTAAGTGGACAATTTTTTTTTATTATTTTCAGGATTATTATTAAATGCTGTGGCTAACCTGAGACCACATGGCTTATAGCAATGGACAAATAACGTGCCAAGGCTAAAAGACTAAGGCTTCAGAGTGAGCCCTAGGATTAAACCCTGATCCATGCTGATTTTACAATCACCTCAAGGTCCACAGCAGGTGCTTAACAAATATTAGTACTTATTTGTCCTCATCCTGTTCCTAGATTGGCAGCCTGTGTGTGTGCTCACACACACACTCTCTCTCTTGATGGTATATATTCATATCAGTGGATGGAGGGGCCAGGACAGAAAATACACAGAATGTACCAAGGCTTAATTTCTTCATCTATAAAATGAACATTCTCAAATCACAGGATTGTGAGCAAGATCAAATGAGATGACAGCTGTGACAGTGACTTAAAATTTGAAAACTATCAACATTTCAAAATTACTATTGGTGTTTAAAGATCGGAATGATATAGACAGAGGGAAATGAATATAAATGAATGAAAACATTATTTTTTCTCCCAATATATATTTTCAATGGATACTAACATACTTTGATACTTTTTCCTACAAAAGAAAAATGTCCATTTGTACAAATGAGTAAGTGGATGAATGGATGGGTGGAGGTAAGGAAGGTTGTTTTGTCATTAGGTCACTTATTTTATAAAGTGTGAAATCTCTATATATTATACTTATTGTTTTTAAGGAAATGGGATAGAATGTCACCTACAAAAATACTACAATTGTGTTTCTCCTATACTTGGTAAGTAGCTTAATTTACTTTTATTTTTAGGATATATATTAACATTGCTCAGTGTACCTGAAGACATTAAATCATACTATGGACACCTCAGAAAGGAAACAGAATAGAGACTATAAGGGTTTAGAATGTTTAGGAGGGTTTAGAATGTTCTTAAATAGTAGCTTGTATAAACATAAACAGAAAAAACGAACAAATATCCTCTGATTTTAAGATATATCTGAATTAAAGATACAGTGTCAAAGTAACATAAAAGAGAGTTATTTTTTATTTATAAATATTTATGTTGTTTTCTAATGTTTTTTATAATCAAAATAGCCTTTTTATTACATAAATAAAATGTATCTGTTGTGAATAGTCAAATATTACAGAATATAAAAGAAGCCATGTAAAAAATCAGTAGAAGTTGCATCACTCTGAAAATTACTCTCAGTTTTGGAACTGTTCTTTCAGTCGTTCATTTAATTATACATAGGCTATATATAAAACTTTTTCCATAAATAAAATCATGATCATATCTGTTGTACTTATTGCAGATAATTGCTTCTTAAACAGCCTTTTATTTTTTTTTTTTTTGCTTACGTATCTCTTAACCCCCAATCCATGTAAATACAATAGTATAGTCCAGCATAACTTTCTCTGTGTATATAGCTTTATACTTAGGACTTTCAATCATTGATTGTTTATTAAAATGGGATTCTAACATACTCTTTTATGAAACTAGCTTTCCTCACTCATTGTGGAAATATGTCCAGGACAGCAGAATTGATAAAACAGGTTCTTTTGGATGGTTGTAAAATATGTCACAATATGAGCATGATTACAAGGGATCTTGTAATTTTTATAGCCCACAAGTTGACTAGACTCCTGAAGGAATATACTCACCAGTGGAGCTGGAATGATGTTGCCAAATTTCTTCTGATTTCCTATCCCTGATGGAGGCTGGAGGGAGAGCTCAGGAAAACAAATGTATACGTCAAGTGTTGTTAGCAGAGGATCTATGAGACTGTGTGTATTTGCTGTTGTGCAGGGTGCATAAGTGTGTGTGTGTAAGTGTGTGTGTGTGCACATATGTGGGTACATAAGCATGTGGGAGGAGTGTGTGAGAGTACGTATACGTGCGTGTGTGAAAACATGTATGTGAGTTGTGTGAGTGTGTATGTGTACGTAGGTGTGTGGGTGTATGAGTGTGTGTGGCATGTGTGAGAGTATTGTGAGTGTGTGAGCATGTGTGCATGGGAGTGTGTGGGAGTGTGCGATGTGTGTGATAGCATGTATGAGTGTGTGGTGTGTGAGAGCACGTGCATGGTAGTGTGTGAGTGTATAAGTGTGAGCATGTGCGTAAGTGAGGGTGTGATACACGTGAGTGGGAAGAGTGGGGGTCATTCACATTAGCCTTGAAGAACTCATGAGTGTGTGCAAAAGTTATGCTCTTTTAGCACAGAGTACCAAAGCTAGAGTCTAAAAAACAAGCTTGAAGTTGGTCACTAATCAAGGGTGTTGGTGAACAATGGGTTCACAACAGCAATGAATCCATAAAGGTTGTAATGTCAATAGCAAAAGAAAATAAAAAACCTGGATCTCTACAAGAGATGGGCACCGGGAGATGATCCCAAGGGAAGCTGGAGACAAACATTTCCTCCAGCGCATGCTTGCCCCATTGCTCTAAGGATTCAGGAGAGGACAGAGAACCTCAGTGGCTGATTTAGAAATTCTACAGAAATAAGAGATTTGAAACTCTCAGCCGCATGTTTCAAACCACCGTATGTTGTGACAAGTCTTAGCGATTAGTCTAGTTTAAATCCGAGTCATTGGCTTTTAAGATTATGTTTGAAAGTTTTTCTTGAAGTGACACAAGATCACAAAACCATCTTTCCATCCTGTCCTGGTCATGCACCTGATATCTGTGGAGAATCAGAGACTTCCTGGAGAAAATTTCTCATTTCTAATAAAGATTCTTATGCAGTGACTCAATCCAAAGATAACAACTCCTATGGTATAGATTCTTTTTGCTTTGCAGTATTGAAAATGTAAATACCATTTGTTAAGAAAGGAGTGTGACAGAATTTGTAAACCACATTTTAAATTATTTTATTTCATTTTTAATTGACAGATAAGTATTGTACATATTTTGGGGGCACAGGGCGTTGCTCCAATACATGTGATGTATGGGTGATCAGATCAGGATAGTTTGTCCAATTTATCAAACATTTATCATTTTTTTTTTGTGTTGGGAACATTCAATATTCTCCTTTTAGGTATTTGAGGATACGTATCATTGTTAATTACAGCCATTCTGCAGTGGTATAACCACTTCTTTTTTTAACCATTGAAAGTGAAATTATAAACTTTAAAAAGCTTTATCCTCCCCACTGTGAAATATTCCTCTTCTTTGAATTCCCTGCCCTGATTTTCTTTTCAGACTCCATTGAACTTAAGGATTTATGTACAGTGGGGACATATAACTCTAGCTGCCCTGTTTCTTGTGAAGAAACAGAATACCCTGCCACTATTTCATATTCCAATTTCCCAAGTCGACAAGCTCTGAAATATCTTTCTAAGAAGTTGAATAAAAGCCAAAAATATATCAGGTAATCATATTAGTCTTATAAATTACTTGTAATTAACATGAATATGTATATGTTTGTTTGTTTGTTGACACAGAGTCTCACTTTGTCACTCTGTATAGAGTGCCATGGTGTCATAGCTCAGAGCAATCTCAAACTCTTGGGCTCAAGTGATTTTCTTGCATCAGCCACCCAAATAGAGGACTACAGGTTCTTTCTGCAATGGAGGCTAGTTTTCCTATTTTTGGTAAAGGCAGGGTGTCACTCTTGCTCAGGCTGGTCTCAAACTCCTGAGCTCAGCAATCCACTGGCCTGGGCCTCCAGAGTTGCTGGGATTACAGGCATGAGCTACCAGGCCTGGCTAAGTACCTGACTATGAAAACTTGTTTGATTCCAATTTTAGCCTTGTATATAATTAAGAAAAATAATCTCCCCATGTAAATACCTATACAATAAAACCATCTTTACAAATTGTAAAGAAAAAGTGCTTTCGTCAAGATGGGACTAATGGGAGTATGGTTTTAAACACTTAGCAGATAAAGAAAAATAAAGAGCTACAATATGTGTAATTATGTCTTTTTACACCTCTGACTCCAACACAGGTATCTCTGTATTTCATTTTAATGTGGGAAACTGATTTGCCTGTAATGTTACTTCTATATATATGATTTTAAAGAGCACTTCATATGACTTCTGGTTGAAAAAATCTCCTGAATTTCATTACTATTGAATCTTCAGAGGATATAAGCATAATTCTAGAAACATATTAATTAATTTAGAAAATAAACCTATGTATAAAACAAGATGATCCTAACAAATGTTATTTTTTCCCCAAGACTCAAATTATTATAAATCTATCACCAATTAATCCTATTTTATAATTGATATGTAGGGACCTTACATGGTTGTTGATAGTGCAGGCTGTTACCAGGCGTATTAGGGTAAGTGGTTGAACACGGCAGCTGGACTTAGGGGTTGCCCAGATCCTACAAAGAACTAGTTAGAAGTTGCACGTGTGATTAAGAAACTGGTTTGTGGACAGAATCAGAAATCAAAGAGTGGTAAATCAGAAAACACAAATGTTCAGCCAAGGGCAGTGGCTCATCCTTGTAATTCCAGCACTTTGAGAGGCCCAGGTAGGAGAATTGGTTGGAGCCAGGAGTTCAAGACAAGCCTGGGCAACATAGTGAGACCTCTATTTCTATAAAGACTGAAGGAAAAAAAATTAGCCAGGTGTGGTGGTGCACACCTATAGCTCCAGCTACCCGGGAGCTCTGAAGCCTCAAGGTGGAGGATCACTTGAGCCCAGGAGTTAGAGGATACAGAGAGCTATGATCAGGACACTGCATTCAAGCCTGGGCAACAGGGTGAAACTTTGTCTCAAGAAAGAGTACACACAGACAATAAGAAAACACAAATGCAGTTTGTCATGGGTGTAGATGTAAAATCTTAACAGTAGTGCGATTAAAAAAGAAGCAACCTCTTTTTTAATGATGAAGCCGTATGTGAGTCTTCCTGGGGCAGAAATCACACCCACATGATGGCCAAGCCAGAGTCTCAGGTGACAGTTACTGCACCCCCAAATGATGAGATGCTTTGGCCTACTGAGCAGGCAGTGAGGAGGTGAATATAAGGGTAAGCTGTGGCTGAATATAGGCCTATTTCATCAGCAAAATGAGTGTATTTTAAAAATTGTTCCATTTTAACTTAAAATTTGAAATAAAAATTATTTGATTTATTATACAAACAATCCATTCCTGTTAAGGCAGCATTCATGGGCAAGCATCTGAAAGCATTTCTTTAGTGTTTTGTAATACATCGAGAAACTCAGTTTTTAATTTATAAGGTGACATGAACAAATATTTCTGAAATGAAATCCTGAATGATTTCACTATCACCAGGAGACACAGAATCAGTGCAGCCCAAATTACTGGGCAAATCATCTGTCTGAGAGAAATTGAGTAAATATCACAATATTTTTGTGGGGGAGGAATTCATCTTCTCTCAAAACTACAGATGGACAATATTTGGAAATGATTATGAATGTTGTACTTGGGAAATTAAACAATATTATCAGTGTACTTGTAAATTAGGGGCACAACGGAGCCTAAAAGGATTGAAATATTACTAAAATGTCTGTACTTCCAAGACAACTTTATTATTTCCATCACTTTGGCAATTGCTTTATTATATGTAAATATTACCAGAGGCCAATTATCTATTTAAGCATAGCCCATTCTCCTGTTACCCAGGATTAAACCAATGGATATTAAGTAAACATATTAATGATGTATTTAAAATTAAGTATGTTTAGGAATATTAATTTCAAAACTATAAACAATAAGAAGAGTGATTTACAGCCATTTTTCTTAGATACATTAAAGAATACCATGTAACTCCAGGAAACTCTAGTAAGATCCATTCTTAATGATTATTGCTGTCATTTGCAAATCATGAGATGGTTGGTTTTCAGTTTAGCTTATAATGTAGACAGGTGACTATCCACTCATTTGTTAATATTATCTTTAATTTGCTTTCTTAGTAGTCCATTTTAAAAATACATAGTAAGCACCTATAATGTGTTAGGATTCAAGAAATATTCTAAGCACTAGGAATACCTCAAATCTCAAGTCAAAAACCTTACCTTGTTGTGCTTCTGTCCACTGGAATGGAGATGGATGGTAGATGTGTCTAGTCACAGCACTTGGTCCTAAGTGCATGGGAGAGAAATCAGCAAAGTAGTCTCGGGAAGGCAGAATCAGGGAAAGTTATTCTCAGGGTCATAGAACATGATCAGAAAGACCTTCCTGAGAAGGTGGAGTTTGAGCAAAGACCTAAAGTGGGGCTTCTCAAAATCCCATGGTGGAGTTTTACTTGGTGTATGATGATAGGAAATTTGGGGGCAGGGTGTGGAGGTTGAGGAAAAGGGAAACATGATTTGGAGAGTTACAGACATGTATTTTACTTATTGTATAAATAGAAGGTGTGTATTTGTCAAGGCGGTGTGCTTTAAAGTTGGAAGGAGAATGACTGATCAGAAAGCTATTGCAAAAATGTAGGGGAGAAATAACCAAGGTCTGGGGGAAGGTGGTTGCACTGATTGGGGGGAGAGGCGGCAGCAGTCCTGATATATTTTAAAGGTAAGTCAGATAGGGTATCCTGATCAACTGTCTATGGAGTCTGAAATTTTACATTATAAATTGGGGAAATATCAAGAGTTTGACCTAGACTATGTCAAATTTGAAACACCTGTCATATATCCAGGTAGAACTGTTATGAGGCACTTGACTATATTATTGAACTTCAACGAAGAGATGTGGGTTGCAGCTAGAGAGTGAGACATGAGACTTCATAAAGTCTGCAATTTTACTTTTATAATTAATTTTTTTATTGTTAAGAGAGCTAAAATTTTAAAATAATGTGTAGCCAATCTGGTCACATATGAAGATTTCTAGAGGATGTTAAGAAAACAAGAGTCTTTGCCCAAATATGCATTAATGACATAGAGGAAATAATTAGTATTTATTGAATACTCAACATGCACCAGGTTCTTTTCAATGCTTTATACATATTATTTAATTTCTCCTCATCATAACTCTGTGAATTTGACTAAAATTCTGACTACTCGTGGGGAAACCAAGATTCAGGAAATCAATATGAGTCACATGAGAAACAAGGGACAGAACCAAGGTCTCAATTAAAATGAAATGCACCTTTAAATGTCTTTAAATATTTAGTCTACTCAGTAGATAATTACATTTGATGACTTTTTTCCAGGTTCTCAGGAATGATGTGTAGAAAAATAATTCTTTCTCCTAAATAGTAACATAACAAAAATGCCTTCTAAATCATGTTAATTGTGATTAATATCAAATCTGAGTCTAATTCAGCATTTCGTATAAAACAAAAATGAATATTACTTTTGTCAAATGGGAGTTCAGTGTAGTGGTGGCAGTCTTGAGCTATGATAACTCTGTTTTTATCCCTAGAGAGAATCTTGTAAACATTGAAATAAACTATAGTGATTTGAACTACAAGATAACCCAGCAGCAAAAAGCAGTCAGTGTGTCTGAGTTACTTGGTAAGTGTTATTTAGTTGTTCCTCAATTTTTTGGAATTTTTCTTTTCTCGTTCATATTTTTGGTTCAGCTTATCAAGGGAGGAAAAGGAATCAATAGTACTTGTCATTGGCTACTATTTAAATCTGACATTTTCCAACTCTCTAGGAAACACTACTGTACCTAATTCTAGCCTAAGAATATGCAGGGAGGGGGGGAGAAGGGCGGCTGGGTGGTGGGAGGGTGACTGGAAAGATCACCTATATGGTCTGTCTAACAAGGGTACAGGTGAACTTTTCTAGAACTAGAGTATAAATGTCTTAACACGATAACTGAGTAAATGACACAAAGTCTATGTTAACCAGTTTGATGAAAATATTTCAAATTGTATATGAAAACACTACACTGTACCCCATGTTCGCATTAATGTACACAGCTATCATTTAATAATAAAAAATGAAAAAAGAAAGAAAACACTAGTGTAAGCAAACCTCACACGGACATGGACAGGGCTGGTGTTGATCGTTACATACTCACACTCACATCGGGCTTTCCTTCATCAAAGGACATTGCAGCAAGTTTCAGCCTCCTGCATCTGGGTAGGACATCAGCCACCTCATATTCCGCACAGAGCTCGGCCCCAGAGTGGGTGAAAAGAACCCAAGGAAGCAAAATTAGTTTACAGTCCCTGTCTGCTGACTGGCCTCCATCACACTGTCCTTAACAAGCATAAGTGCTGGTGTCCCATCACACTGTCCTTAACAAGCATAAGTGCTGGTGTCCTAGATCTCACTGTGTCTTAGAGGAGGCCCTGTGAGGGACAGAAGAAGACCCTGAAGTCAGGCAGAGTGACAACAGTGAGACGCAGCAGCCGAGACCCCGAATAGGGAGGAGGTACAGAAATTCCCCAAAGCTCTTGGAGAAGCCTATCCTGCATTATCACACTCATCACGCTTTTCAAAAATAGCCCGATCCTGAGAATGGCCCAGGGCAATAAGAGAATGATTAATAATGTAAGCTATTTTTAAAAGGACTGCTGGAGTAGTCAAATTCAGAGACAGAAAGTAGAATAGTGGTTGCCAGGGGCTGGGAGGAGGAGGGAATGGGGAGTTAGTGCTTATTGCACGCAGAGTTTCAGTTGGGGAAGATGAAAAAGTTCTGGAAATGGGTGAAGGTGATGGTTGCATAACAATGTGAATTACTTTGCACCATAGAACCGTACACTAAAGAATCGTTTAAAATGTTATATTTTATGTCATGAATATTTTACCATAACAAAAAAGCACAAGTAATAAAAATATAGACTTTTAAAATATCCTAAAAATGGGGCAATGCCTATGGCTCAGTGGGTAGGGCACTGGCCCCACATACCGAGGGTGGCGGGTTCGAACCGGGCCCAGGCCAAACTGCAACAAAAAGTAGCCGGGCATTGTGGTGGGCACCTGTAGTCCCAGCTGCTCAGGAGGCTCAAGCAAGAGAATCGCCTAAGCCCAGGAGCTGGAGGTTGCTGTGAGCTGTGACACCATGGCTTTCTACCAAGGGCGATAAAGTGAGACTCTGTTTCTAAAAAGGCAATGCTATATTAAAATATTTTTTGTTAAATTAAATATTTTAAATACCTAAAAAGAACTAATTCTTTCAGACACCCGAAGTCATCACATGTTTGGAAATTAATTTTCTGGAAAACACTGTCATCCAGTAATGCCATCTGGATGGCATTTCTGCTCCTTGCTTAACACGTGGACATGAATTTTTAATCATCTAGGCTCTTTTATGAATTTGCCAAGCTTTTACATCCTCCAAAGTCTTTGAGTTGTATTTTTGGAAACAGATTTCATGTTTGTTTTTTCACTGTGCTTTTTCAGATGATTTGTATGACTACTACTATAAGATATTGCTAACTGCCATAAGCTTATTTATACCAAATTTTCAAGGAATACCCATAACCCAACTTCATATCATATCAGTTACGATTAACTTATTAGCTTCAAATGATTTAACTGTCTAATAATGTTTCATCTGCTATTTAGGAAAAAAGGTGACATTCAATTTTTTCTTGTTTTGTTACAGCAGATGTCGGCGGTCAGCTGGGGCTATTTTGCGGGGCCAGTATCATTACAATTATAGAAATTATTGAATATATATTCACCAATTTCTGCTGGATATGCATTTTCTTTTTGCTGAAGATACCTGACATGACACAGTGGTCTCCCCCACCTCAAAATCACCTGGGAGATAAAAACCAAATAGAGGAATGCTAATGTTCACATGGAATAAAAGTGGTTACTTTTCTCTTCACGATACCTGTAGATCTGTTATCACTAATTCATTGTTAGGTAACTTTATGCTGTTGTTTGGGGGGTCAATAAACCCCCCCCCGAAGGCATCTATCCCTTGATACATGTCTTTTTGTCTATTTGTTCTTGTGTGTCTGTCTGAATATTTTTTAATACAGGCTGGCCATAAAGTTGCTGTGTAGTTTAAAATAGTGTGCAATTTAAAACTGCACACGAATGTTATGGACAACCTATATACAAAAGAAATGGGAGAAATAGGCACCGTTCCCATACTTCTATATTTCCAGTACCTAGAATAGCAGAGATTATGCACCAGACATTTCATAAATTTATTTTCAATGGGTAAATATTTGGATGATGGAAAAAGGACATTCTTCATGAATAAATATTTAAAGTATACCCGATCAATAAGCTATATAGGAGGAGAAAAAGCAGTGTGTGTTATAAAGATTTTTTAAGAACTTTCATTTTCACTAAGATTCAACTTTTTTTTTCTTTTACATGAACTGTTCTATTGCAAATTACCTTTGGAGGGGGAAAAAATCTATATTTCCTACGCAGGTGTAGATTTAGAATCAATCTAATTGAATGCAAAGTGAAACCCGTAGTTTACTGACAGTACATGGCATCTTGTCATGTTTTCCTAAGTATTTCTATTGACTTACTGAATGTAGAGAGAAAATTCAAGACTTTCAGTGTCCTCCTACTCCTCAGGCTATAGACCTACTTCCAACTGCTCAGAACATTCAATCAATAGTGAATAGTTCAGAAGGCTTCTCAAGCATACTCAAGAAATCATAAGCAAGTTGAAGATTTTTAACCGTTAATTCATTCTCTGTAGTACTGTATCTTTTCCAGATCTCATAAAAATAAGTTGAGAAACTCTTGAAATGTTTTTAAGCTTGATGATAAGTGAGTGCTAGTGCCGCAGGAATGGGGCCAGCACAATCTGCTGGTAGTCAAGTTAGAAATGTATCTTGTGACTCAGAAATCCCTATCACGGGTAAATACTGCAGAGAAATTCTCCCACAAAGACGTGGCATACAGATTCTCACTTCCTGTTTTGCAATTCTACTTATCCAAATATCCATCCTAAACTAAACCAAGGAGATGTTACTCCTCCCTGTTTTTTCCAACATATTGAAAACTCTTAAAACAATTTTATATTTTTAGTGATTTATAGAAGAACTCTGCCAATTTTTTAGGTGTCTCACATAAAACGCAATTGAAAGGACTCTCCTATTTGGGGGGCTGGGTGAAGCTTGCATTGTAAGAAATACTGTGTTTTATGAATGTACCTTCCAATATTCCCGTGTTAGGAAAATGACAGATGTAAATTGACCCTTGAATAATGCAGGAATTACTGTAATATATAAACTTTCAGCTGAAAATATATATTACTATTCATTTATCAATAGCCTACTGTTAACTGGAGTTCTTACCTATAACATAGTCAATTAGCACATATTTTGTATGTTGTATGTATTATATACTATTCTTAAAGTAAGCTAGAGAAAAGAAAATGTAAGACAATCATAAGAAAGTGAAAATATATTTGCTATTTATTAAGTTGAGTGGATCATCATAAATGACTTCATCCTTGTCATCTTCACCCTGAGCAGGCTGAGGAGGAGAAGGCAAAGGAGGGCTTGGTCTTGCTGTCCGAGGGGTGGCAAAGGCAGAAGAAAATACCAATATATGTGGACCTGAATAGTTCAAACCCATGTTGTTCAAAACTCAACTGTATTTGATTTGAACTAAGTGAAATAGGGTTGACATCATGGAAAAGCTAAATAGCTAAGAATGGAGATTCTTAAAATTTAATACTGCCTTAAGGATTTGTAAAAACAAATTGTGTATCAGTTTTGTCCTACCAACGTACCAAAATGAATTTAGGCACTTAACAGCATATCTTAGTATATCCCCCTACCACTCTCAAACTGGAATCATAACATCTCTACTAGAAGTAGGAAGGGTGTGCTCCAGGCATGAGTGTCTGAGCTAAAGGAGCACTTTATCAGAACAGGAGAGATAGTGGAGGAGGAACACCTGAAAGGTGTCTGAGATACAGGCATGAGGATTAAGGTAGAGGATGATACTTTCACACACTGGCTTTCTCACCTTACAAACATCCTTCATATTCCACTGGAGCCAGCTGCACCAGGTTTGGGACTGTACTTGTGCATTCTGCATCCAGGGAAGAATTGCCATGCAAACATCTCCATGCAATCACCATGCGAACTCCAGCAAAGGGATCGAGTGAAGACTCCACTCTATGTCACTTACCAAGGAAATGCTGGGCCACTGTCCATGGTGGCCATGATAGTGATAATCCCTTAATCCTTTCCTTTCTAATGGTATCCCTTCTTGGGAATCAACAAAGGAGGGTCTTCTGAGGCTATATTTCTGCTGCTTGCTCATGGGTGTGTAGGATGGATGAAGGAGGAACTCTTAAGTGAAGAAGCCAGGTCTGAGGCAAGGCAGGTGAAAACGGAAGGGGAGAAACTGTGGAAGATGAGAGGACAGCACACAAATGACAAGTAACATTGGGAAAGGATGCTGTTACTCTTTTTCTAAGAGAGAGTCCTGTGGTGGGGGGAGTAATTAATGCTCTTTGAGTCTCTCAGAAATGGAGGTGGGTCATGACCCCCTACTGAGAACACCCCTGGATTTGCCTTTCCTCTGAGATGGAGAAGAGCCCTGAAGCCAAACTATAAAGTCAACCCAACAACTCACTCCACTTGCATTATTTGAAGAAAATACATCAACCAGTATTTCTTGATGACTTGCCTAAGAAAGAACAGACTGTAACCACATTTTTTTCCTTCCAGTTATTTTATCATATTTATACTTCTGAATAGCCATTTATCACTGGTGATTCATCCGTAGAATTTTCACAAAGGGCAAATTGAATCTGGCATTACCAGAAACTGCCTGAAAAGATAATATAGAGAGATATAAAGGACTATAGATATTTCTAAACTAATGGAACATCACACTTGCCAACCATCCTGGGAAAGAGATAATGACCTCCATTAGGAATATTTCCTAATATCGTGATTATGATAAAATTTGTTGCATCATAAGTGCAGTGGCAAAGAAATGAGTTACAAGGATCTTAGATGCATATTGCTGAGTGAAAGAAGGCACTATGGAAAGGCAGGATTTTGTGTGATTCCAACTGTTTAACATTCTGGGAAAGGGAAAATTATGGAAAAAGCATAGGGGAAAAAATCAGTGGTTGATGGGTTTGAGGGAGGAGGGAAGAGATGAATAGGCAGAGCCCAGGGAACGTGAAGGGGAGTGAAACCACTTCGTATGACCCTGCAATGCTATGTAGATATGTAGATACATGTTATACACTTGTCAAAATCCACAGAATGTACAACAGAAAGAGTGACTCCTAACATAAACAATGGACTTCAATGAGTAATAAGCTATCAATATTGACTCATCAATTGTAACAAATGTACCACAATAATGCAAGATGTTAATAACAGGGGAAACTGAGAATGGTAAGTTGGTGGGGGATCTATGAGAACTCTGCACCTTGCACTCAAATTTTCTTATAAACCTAAAACTGCTATAAAAAGAAAACTGTATTAAAAAGGGGGGAAGCAATGGTTAGGTATGATGAAGACTCAAGCTAGAGGAGTCCACTTGTAGGAACATTATGTACAGACTAAACAATGACAATCTATCTCTGGTGAGTAAGAACACCTATGTACTGTTGCCATGTCCTGACTGGCCAGAGTACCATGAATTAACAAAGACTTGTTCTCACCATCCATCTAATTGGTTGGGAGGCAGATGGTCAATGCTTCACGGTGTTACCCAGAATCATGTGTTGTTGAAAATTTGCTTCCTGGAGGTACCTTTATATTAATTTGAAACTTAAAAAATAAAAACTAAAATTTCAAAATAAAAACAAAAAAAGAAAAGAAAATTTGTTTCGTGATGCCTACAGTATGGTTATCTTCCCCATTCCCATATGGAACATGAATTTTTGTGAGCAGTGGCTTCCGGTAACTACCAAAGTAGCAGGAAATGCATTTTACTGTATGGAGAGGTTTCTTTTGCCAGAAGGTTTGGGAAACAACATGACAATATTCACTGAGGCATGGTATATGAAGCAAAATTTTAATCTCTTTGCTGAAGTTATGTTCTAACAAAAGATTAATGGTTTTACTTATAACCCAAATGTAATTGAAATGGATAAACAATGAACCCAGGAGGAAGATGTATTTTCAGAAGGCAGTCAACCTAAAACTCCCCATTGATCTCATGTCTACAGAGAGATTATTGATGGCCAGAGGAAAAATAAAAAAAAAAAAAACTTTTATGAAATTCATAAAAGTTACATGTGCAGTTATATTCCTTTAACAAAAAATGTACTCAAAGGTACCAAAATAATGGATAAAAAAGGAATGAATCATCCAAGTGGTAGAGAATTATCAAAAACTTGGTGAAGTGTTTGGTCATGGTTAACATGTTTTGGAGAGGAAATTCCAGTCCTCACTGGATAACATAGGTGCTGGTTGTCATCAGTGCTGCAGTATATTTATTTCTGCACATCAAATATAGTAGATAAGTTGCTGTAATAAGAACTATAATAAAGAAATGCCTGAGGAGTATGTAGCAAAGAGATTTTGGTTATCTCTGTGCTGGTTCTGTTGCCTTTCCCCAGCCTTAAGGACAAATTGCTTCTAGAATATAGGAACTTACAAGAATATATACATATATATCTCAGATCCAAGAAAAATATGAATCAGATCCAGGAGTAGGAATAGTAGAAATCACTTACACCTCCAACTTGGGATTGTTTACTCAAGATTTGAGGTACAGTTATCCTGAACAATGAGGCTGGTCACACACCTCCAAGGTCTCCATGACCAGCTGCAGAGACCACAGACCTGAGGGCTCCACTACTGCCTTTCATGACCATGCACATCCCCAGGGCAGTGTTATCAGCGCCTGAGCAGCTATTCCTGGGAGTTATCAGAA